GGTGTTGTTTACACAGCCATTGAGTGTTTTTAAGCAAAATATGTTACAGACATTTCATGAAGACCCTACTAAATCATGCCAACTTGTGGAAAATGTTCATCCGATGAGCCCTTTAAGACATGCGGGGAATTTCCAACAGTGTGTCCTAACCAGACCCAATAAGATAAGATTTCAGCAACAAGTAATTTGTCTGTCCACTCCAGATGTGACATGGTTACACGATGCAACAAAATCAACCACAAATCACAGCCAATCAGAAGAGCATGTGGGCAGGCTCGTACTTGCAGTGAAATGAGTACATGATTAAATTCATAAAAATAAAAATCCATTTTAACATTATTCAATATACATACTTAGTGACACAGAGATTACAGTTAGAACGTTCTTGTTTCCCAAGATTTGAGCTAATTATCCATTGTCGCTTTCATTATGGTTATTAAAAAGTTACACACATTGATAATCAAAATAAAATTAAACCCTTGTTAGATTATAGAAAGCACGTAATCGATACCTGTGATTGTCTGGTGAGGAGTGTTAGGCCACGTACACACTGAAATATTTTTTCTAATAAAGTGACACTGGAATTTTTCAGCTGTTGCTGTTTAACAGCCTACGTTCTGTAAATACACTTCTTGTTTCATTTCAAGTCAGACATGACTCAAAGTAATGACTTAAGGTTAAGTTACTGCTAACTCTTTGAGTAATTCTATAGAACGGGCGTATAAGAATCAGACTAATCATTTGTTTGGTTTCATCTCATAACATTTAATTCAGACTGAAAGCGTTAAAAGTATAATTTATTAGATTTTGTGGTGGAGAAAACACTACCTTGGACCTTATTTATCTGTAGTGTGTACATGGCCTTAGTGAAGTTCCCTTTTCAAAAAAAATTGCTTATTACTGCTGTTTTGAGGTCAGTGGTAATTCTGCCCTCTCTAAATTTAATACTCCCTAATTTCTGTATTAACACATTTTCCTCCTTCCCCATCCAGCATGAGTCATTTGTCTCACATCAGCTAAAAGAAGTTAGCCAATTCTCCCAGAAATAGCTTGTGTCTGAGATTATTTGTTCATCCCTTTAGTCTCAGACGCTCCTCCACCGCCGCCTCCTGCAGAAGAGGTGGAGTTTGAGGAAGCAACCCCGCCTCCACCTCCTCCAGAGGACTATGAGGATGAGGAGGGTGATGATGAGGAAGAGTCAGCGGTGGTGGAGTACAGTGACCCCTACGCTGAAGAAGACCCGCCATGGGCCCCTCGCAATTACCTGGAGAAAGGTACGCTACTCTTTTTAGCTTTTATTTCTAGCTGTTTCTCAGAGTGTACAGTAAACACTGGTTTGGATCAAAAAACACTGTTGGTCATGATTGCATTTCAATAACGTATATCAGATCAGTAATGAAATCTGACAACGTTATCATAAATGTTACTTGTTTAGCTCTATTATTATTATTATTATTTTTTTTACAGTTTATACGTTTTATTGAAAATATGTGGTAGCCCATTTTTGCTACACAAGAAAAAGAAAATCAAGCTTTGGTAAATCATAATTATGACATAAGTTGGAATCGACAAGTCAAAATTAGTGACATTATGAGATAAAAACTCAATGACATAAGTCAAAATTTCTTGTGTCATTGTGAATTTTAGCTGATGACTTTTTATGTCATAATTATGTCTTTATTTACCAAAGCGTGATTTTTTTTTTCTTGTAGTGGAAATGGGCTTCTATAAAAAATTGTAGGGTTTTAAATTTTTATTTAATTTGTAGGGTATTAAAAATCTGGCCAGTGCAAATTATTTTTATATTATGGCCAATGACCCATACATGATAAGTAAATATAGTAATATATAAATGAAATAATATAATAAAAACTACATTAATTAAAAAAACCACTAAAAATTCTAATCAGTCACTTATATTACAAGTAAATACTAAATATATACATAATTTAAAAATTAAAAACTACATAAAAATAAAACCCAAAACCAAAAAATCATTTTAAATATTAAAAGTAAATTTAGGCATCACGGTAATGTACAGTATGAAAAATGGATACAGTGTTATTACATTATTACAACTAAAACTGAACATCATTAAAAAAATAAAACATTATTTGAAATAAACTTGAAATAAATAATAAATATTGACTGAAATTTTCAGTCAAGTTTTCAAGGCAATATTTCTCATTTTAATTTAGTTTAACTTGATTAACTAAAATAAGTAAAACTGAAATAAAATGAATAAAAACTATATAGACATAAAATACCCCCCCCCAAAAAAAGACCTACTAAAACAAAAACATGCGAAACAATTACTGAAACTTTAGCTGAAATTAAAATGAAAATGGAAACATAAAAATAGAACCGATTCAAAATAGTATCTCAATAATACTACATTTAACAGTGGCATACATAATTACAATGTAATACAATCTGCAGCATATCGGTTATAGGCCGATATTACCGATTTTTTTCCCATTCAGCTCTATAGTGAATATGTAAGTATTTTATATTCACTATAGAGATAAATGGAAAAAAAATCTGTAATATCGGCCTATAACCGATATGATGCAGATATATTGTGCATCCTTAAAAATGTTTTGTTAAATTTTTTATCATGTAGTAAACATTTTTTAAATAGCAGTAAGATATGAGAGGAGTATATTCACAGCTGATCAATTGTTTATAACAACAGCATCACAATATACAATATTTAGAGTGTAGCACAGTCTGTCATGCTGTAATACGTAATTACAATAAAAACATAACCAGACATTGTTTTTCTTATTTTTATCACACCATTCCCATCAGTGGTGGCGATTTACGACTACACGCGCGACAAAGAAGACGAGCTATCCTTCCAGGAGGGGGCGATCATTTACGTCATCAAGAAGAACGACGACGGCTGGTTCGAGGGCGTGACAAGCGGCACCACGGGCCTCTTCCCCGGGAACTACGTGGACGCCATCATGCATTACGCAGACTGAGCCACCGGGTGGCGCCACTGCTCCCCTGTCCATCATCTTCCTCATTCTTTTGAGTCCACACACAAACACAAATGAATTCAGCTACACTACATAATGCACAGGCTTGTTGCAGACAAACAGACTGAGAGCTGCAGGAAAAGGTGAAGATTTTAACGGAAAAAACTGTTGTGTAAGATAAATACATTAGGAACATTTATTCAATCTCTTAATTTCAATCATGTATCAGAAAAGTGTTGGTTTGCTTGACTTGTGTTGATAGTGATCGCTTTGCTTTCGCTCCTATCCGTCTCTACTCTGGAGGAATTGGTCTGACAAGTAGAAGGACAGTTGTACTTTCTCATGTCATCACAGAATTGGAAGATGGCCATCACTTCTTAACCGTGTGCTGTCCACTGACCAGCAACTGACAGAGAAGCTTTTGCCAAGAATGACAGAACAGGGATTTTATGCATATTGTTGTGCCAGGTAATAGAGACGCATGGATTTCTTTAGTTTTTCATTGTGTTGGTAGTTGAATTTCGTTTAAACAGTTACATTTTGAGTGCAGTTCAGTTTGATATCTTTAGCAGGAGGATATACCAAAGCATTTCAATGGCGTTTGGGACCGACTACAACCTTAAAATACTTTTTCACCATTCCTTTACATTCATTGCTTTCCAAGATTTTATTGCTTGAAATATTTGCAAGTATGTGTATTCTTTGTATGTATGATAAAAAGTAAAGAACACTATTAAATTGTTCAGGAAGTTGGTGCCATTAAGAAATGTTCGTAGATGGTCATATTTTTGGACATAAGAGGTTGTTTCTTGAATCTCAAGTTCAAGTTCGTCTTCAGGATGAACATGTGTATTGTGATCTTTAACCTCCGATTCATCCCTTTGACCAACTGTGGACTTAAAGATACAAGACTATTCTATATGTATGTTATATATTGATTTATATTATAGAAATACTATTTTGTTGGTGTATGACTGGTGTAGAGACAAGAGAACCCCATTTATCTGCAATAACAAAGGCACAGTTAGAAAGTCCTGTCGACGAGCTATAGATTTTTAAAGCACAAGAGATAAACGTGATCTTAGGGAGACCTTATAAAATGTGAAGAACTGATTTTTGAATGAAGAGATATTAAACCGAAACCAGCCCAAATTTTTAAATCTCCTCGTACCCACATGCAGATAATGTGGAACAAACTGTATTAATGCACAGAGACTTTTTTTATCAAGTACTTTGATGCCTATATGTAAGTGTGTGAGTGTGAAACCGATCAATTTCACCGTTTCTGGATCATTGGTGACTGACTTGTCTGTGTGCAAATCTTTATTTTCAATGAACGGTCTGTGCTGAGGGTGTGTGAATCGAGTCTTGCATGTTGATCATTTCTGTGATTTTCCTGCTGATGGAGAATAAACTGGATACATCTGGTCTACTTGCTCACACTTCCTCCAAGGTCAAGGGTCGTAGAAGGTTTTCTGCTGGTCTGGAGAGGATAAGAACCAGACACTGTTGTATGAGGAATTCATTTCTGGTTAGATTTATCTGTCATCCAGAGCAGTCCTTACACTGCTGAGATCCTCTTAGGTAAAGATAAATTTAGTAGTTTTGCTCTAGGGTTTTATATTAAAGGTGGGGTATGTATTTTTTCAAAAACGGGCCGAGTACCAAAACAAAATTGTAGCCAATCAGCAGTAAGGGGCGTGTCTACTCATGATGCGGAGGAGAGAGCGCTTAGTGCACAGGACGGACATTAGCCGAGCCAAGCTATGACAGAAAGATAGAGATGGCGGATAAAAAAAAAAACAGAGGAAAACGTCTGCGGAACAAAGGAAGGCTTCCGATAAGGCAAGAAGTAGGACCCGAGTAAATATCGGACCAGCTTTCCAGCACTGGAGAGAACTCAAGAAGCGGAAGGCCTGCGATCGGACGCCAAGGTTGCTTTGTTTCTCTCGATAGGTGAGTAACACCGTGTCTCACGCCGCAACAGCTGGACGTCATAAATAGAACGCAGCAACAATTTTCTGTCGGGGATTTGTCATGCCGCGGGGCATCCAGTGTAGACAGCATCACTGATTATAAGGAGTTATATAGAATTTTGTCGGCCGCGCCATGCCGCTCGCGTCTGGTGTAGACGGTGTAACATTGGTTTTGCTTTGTTTCACAGAACTAATCGTTGCCTGGGTTGCGTACGTATATGTGGGGCGGAGCTATCAAAATAGGGGTGTGTTTGTTTTGGTGATTTGAAATATCAACATTGGCTACCAGAAATCGCTTACCCCACCTTTAAGAAGTGCTTATATAGAAATATGTCTTTAAAAATAACATTTCAAATAAAAATATAAACATAAATGAGAATATATTTTTTTTACTAATGCACAATGCCATTCCAAGGCCTTACTTTTCTGCACCTTATTCACATTTACATAAATCTGTCAGTAAAATGTGTAATATTCAAAATTATGTTGGAAGCATTCACTTGCTGGCACAGCATCTCGTGTGTATATATAATGAATACACACACACACACACACACATACATATATATGCATACATTTTAAAATGTTTTATTGAAGTCTGTTATGCTCACAAAGGCTGCATCTATCCACTCAAAAATACAGTAATATTGTGGAAATAGCATTGCAGTTTAAAAGAACTTTTCTATTGTAACATTTTAAAATGTAATTTAATCCTGTGATGCAAAGCTGAATTTTCAGCATCATTACTCCAGTCTTCAGTGTCACATGATCCTTCAGAAATCATTCTAATATGCTGATTTGGTGCTCAAGAAACATTTCTTATCAATGTTGAAAACAGTTGTGCTGCTTAATATTTATGCATAAACCATGATAATTTCTGCTAGTCGCCAAGGCAACATTTCTCATTTTCATTTAGGTACTAAACTAAAACTGAAACATTAAACTACATAGGCACATTAAAGAAAAATGACAAAATTACTAAAACTTTAAAATTAATATGAAAACAGAAAATATAAAACTAAAAACTAACTCAAAATACTATAATAGTATTTCAATGACACTAAAATAACTGAGTTATACAACTACATCAAGATTTTCTTCTTTAGAAAAAGCAGAAATGAAGACGAGCAAACTGAGTGGTCAAATTTTTATTAGTATTAATATGTTTAACATCAAAACCTTTTGGGTTATGTGCGAAGTATAAATCATTCCAACTCATGTTGAACTTTGTAGACATTTTAGTAAATTTAAACAACCTTTACATAGTTCATCCATCAGTCTACCCCCAACACCTCAGCAGCCCCTAAATGACATAGTTAACATTTTATTAGTCTGCAATTTGACATTTTAACGCTTTTTGATATTTAAGGTTTAAAAAAATGTTTTGCATCCTCTAGATTACTATAGGATGTTTTAGCAGTGTATTAGCTTACAGCAGAGCAAAATCTGTCATTTAAAATAAAAATCTAGACTAAAGATTAACTAGTACAAAAATCAATTCTATGTGTATTTCCTACATGTGATAATTGGCCATATATCACAAATCTCTAGCCAAATATATTTTCCAGTATATAATCTGGTATCTGTGACAGTTCACAGTTTTAAATGTACACTAAACATGTAGTGCATCTTTTATAGATTTCATTGTACATTTATCCTCTGCGAGTCCTTCCCTCTCCCATGGTTAACTTGGTACTAGTTATTTTCATACATTACACCCCACACACCCTGTTGGAGACTTTAAACTGCCCGCTTAACAGAAACCCAGACACAGAAAAATGTTTACAAAGAGAGAGAAACTGGTCCAAATGTTTGCCTACACACAAATGTTTCTACGCATTATATTGCTCTTGGCATTCAGTCTCATTCTCTCTCTGTAATATTGATTGTTGCTATACAGAGAAACAAATCTGAGAGCAGCACACACTCCCACGCACACACGCACACAAACGGGGGAAACGGGAAGAGGTTTAATGGAAGGAGAGGAAGGGTCAGAGTGGAATTTGTCAAAAGTGGTTTTATCTTGTTACCCAGCTGTCTTCACCCCCCCTACGGCTCACAGATAAGCGTCTCCACCACAAACTTGTTCTCAAAGTGGAGAATTTTGTGGCAGTTGAGAGCCTCTCGCTTCTGGATACCTGTGAAAAAAAGAGAAAAATGGTATGGTGAATGTATGTGGCTTGTTTCAGAGCTCAATATCTGACATTTGTGTCAACATGTTATCTTAAAAATAAAAAAAATTTTATATATATATTAGTTTATATTAGTTTGGTAAGATTTTTTATATTTTTGAAAGTAGTCTCTTATGCTCACCAAGGCTACATTTATTTGTTTAAAAAATATATAGTAAACAATTTAATACTCTCAAATATTACTACAATTTAAAATATTTATTTTCTATTTTAATATAATTTATTCCTGTGATGACAAAGCTAAATTTTCAGCATCATTACTCAGAAATCATTCTAATATGCCGATTTGCTGCTAAAGCTTCTTATTATCAATGTTGAAAACAGTTGTGCTGCTTCATATTTATGAAGAAACCATGATGTACCATGATATATATTAATTTCTGCTAGTCACCAAGGGAGCATTTCTCATTTTCATAGTTTACCTTGATGTACTAAAAGAACTAAAACTGAAATAAAAATTAAACTTCACAGATATTTTTAAAAAAGGAATAGAAACAAAACAAAATTACTAAAACTTACAATTATTATTTAAAAAAATTATTATTATCAATGTTGAAAACAGTTGTGATGCTTAATATTTTTGTTGAACTACTTTTTATTTGCGGATGCTTTGAAGTATAGAAAGTTTGAATAGAACAGCATTTATTTGAAATAGAAATCTGTAAATGGCTAAATAATACATTGGAAATCTATGAACTGTTGATGTATGAAAATGTACATTTATTTTACCTTATTTTATTTCATTCTATTATTTTGTTTCAGTGGTTTTAATGGTTTGGAATGTCTTTTTTTGTTTTGTTGTTCAAACCAAAGCCAATAAATATATTTAGAAAAAATAAATAAGAGATCTTCTGTAACATTATAAAACATTATTAAAAAAACTCCCTAGTAAAGACTCATAAATGAGACAAAGTCTTAATTGGCAAACATCGACTGTAAAGGTTAGTGTGTAATTAACTTTTGAACAATGGGTTGCTCGCCAAAAGTATAGTCAGATTCATGTGTTTACCAAAAACGGTCTCTCTGCGCTCCAGTTTGTAAGTGTCTCTCCCTCTGCAGAGGCTGTAGATGAAGTAACCCAGCTGATCCACATGCTCCAACTTCCCGGTCACTATCATCTGTTCACGCACCAGGTAGGACTGCGGCAGGTATGTTCCAGCCTGCGAACACAACAAAAGTTACACAAGTCACATGTTTGAATAACAGACTACAACCGTGTTGCAAAGCCTTGCCAGTGCACAACCTAGACTTCATTTCTGGGCATTATTCAAGTGTCTAAGTAGGCAATTCATGAGGTTTTGTGGCAGACTAAAGGAAGGCTATTTTGAAGAAGCTCAAATGTAAGATATCAGTGTTGCTGCAGTTACCTTGATGTTGACAAGAAGCTCAAGGAGGTCTTTGGGCGGCATCACGACAGAAGTGTTGAGAGGAATGACGTAGCATTTGTTCAGACGCAGATCCAGATAGGCTGTCAGTCTCTAAAAGCAGAGAAGGAAAACCAGCATGTTACTATTTTGGTAGAAGTAGTCTATTTTTGGGAATCTGATGAAATTGTGTGTGAATGTGTGGCTTTGTGAGGGAGATAAATATCTGCTCTCACCCTGTTGAAGTCATGAACGATGTCAGCAGGGTCACTGTCGCTGAACTTGGGCACTGGGATGTTAATGAGCTCCACGCCCTCATCCTCCAGAACCCTCACTCTCTCCTCAATCCTCTTGGATGCGGCTGGCAAATCCATGTCGGTTTCCTCCTGGCTGTCCTGCATCTTGTAATTTTCCTCACGGTAGTTCACCCCACAGAAATACATCCTCTCCTCCTGAAGACCATTATTGTGAATAGACATATTCTTTCAGTGATCAACTAGACACATATCATTCTGTTAGATGTTTCAGCATGTTTGAAGAAATGGAATTTAAAGGCACAATATGTAATTTTCGCCGCTAGAGGGCACGTATTAGTCAGCAAAATATATAACACTGTTCTAGTGGTTTTTGGATATTTCAATAAAAAAACCTTAGATATTGTGCCTTTAAGACGTCAATGATTTTTAAAGTTTGCAACAATTTTGTAACCAAAGATAAAAAAATAATAATAATATGTATATATATATATTTTTTTTAAAATTTATTTAAATAAATAGCTAGGTTTTCAACCCACATCAGCTAGGTTAATTA